AGGGCTGAGGATGATTTGGCCTCCGTTCGAGTGACGCCGATGCTGCAGCCAAAGCGTTTGACATTGTAGAGTTGGTCACTTTCGAAGTCGATGAGGAAAAAGTAAATACGCCAGGGGCCAATGGACATGAAGAGATGAAGTGAGGGGTCGAAATCTGACAGAGGTTGTCCGATTGAGTGACTTCTAAAGCGTCAGTAAAAGAATTGGGACAGGTGGCGGAAGACTCCGACAGCAAAAATTCATCCTCCACATCACCTAAGGAGATGTCACTGCTGGTCAGGCTAGTAGTATCGCTTGCCTCTAAGAGAAGAGAGCCTGGGCTGACCTGAGTATCTCTCAATGCTGGTGCGATATTTACAGTCGACCCATCTATCAAAACTTCATCAGCCGGATCGAGTGAAGCAATGGATGCTGATGACAGACAGGTGGATAACTTAGAATCCGAAAATGGTGGAGGCTGCGAAAGGCAACTGCTAGTGCCCATTTCAAACCAAGAAAGGCTTACCGAATCGTTTGAGTCCAATGAAGTGTCGTCGGATGGAATAAAAGTGGCGGTAACTTCGTCGGCTCTGGCATTAAGCCTATATGACTGAGATTGGGATAGGGCAAATGAATAATTAGATACAAGCTGATTCGCTTGGGAATATTTTATTTGACAATCTCAGAGAGAAGTAATATTAAATATAATAGAATGCGTAGGTAGAAAATAAGACAGAATATGTATTTAAAAATAAGGAACTTTGGAAAGTGCTGTAGATGAAAGAAAAATAAATAAATTTAACCAAATGAATGAAACCAAATCTGAAGACCGAGAATTATGAAAATTGGAGGGGTCATATTGTTTTATGACTTCGACTTTATATACGAATTTTTGTATCCATTTAGTCTCAACTGCCCTGCATAGCCCTAAATGTATTTGATATGCAAAAAAAATATTTCAAAGCCAGAAAGGCGCTCAGATCTAATTTTTAGCCTCATCGATTACAATTAATTTTTCCCCTAGTTCTTATATGAGAACTAGGTCGCATAAGTTTGATTTAAGGACTAATAGTTCGGTTTTCCCAGAGTTAGATGAGTAGGCCTGATGATGCCATTAAATTTCCGTTAAGGTTAACTCTCGAAAGCTTATCTCATCTAAGATCGATTGCAGTTTCGACCTCTCCTAAGTCTCGTCAGAACCTTCTGCGGGAGTTGATACCGAGCGATGAGAATCATGGAGATATTACCACTAAACTAGGCTACACATATACGAGTGACAGTGAGTCAGAGGTCAGATGAGATATTCAGGCATAGCCAGGCCGATTCTATCTCAGATTTAATAGTCGATTATTGTGGAGTAAGCGAGCACTCTTGTCGCCGCAATTGACAATATTAATTAATTTTGGTGTGAATAGCTTTCGAAATTACCGATAATCAAGGAATAATAATTCAATCACTTAAAAATAAGAAAGGCCTTGTATTCACGTTTAGGTGAGTTGCCGTAAAACATGGTTTATTGCTCTGATGTTATCAGTCACATAGCGGAAGAAAGCTCGACAAGGATTCATCGGGGTCGCAGAGGATATGCCGAGGACTTATTCGCACCAAGCTACAGTCACAGCTCCAAGGCAATCCTCCTTCGGCTTCTGATGAGGCCAACTTACGAATCCCTTCCCCTTGCCCCTTAAAAATAAGCATCAATCTAATCATAGATTATTCAGAACACAGCTTTTCTTCATACCTTATAAAAATATTCTCGTTTAAGTGTTAAAAATAGGGCCATTGTTTCGCTACGACTTCGCATCGGCCTACTTTCAGATATCAACTTTTTATTTCCATTCATTCAAAAAGCCAGCATTGCACTCCATGAGTAGGGTTGAAAAGGGTGCCTTTTAGCAGTAAGGATATAGCATTTGCCTCCGAACATGTGAATGTCAGAATAACGTGGTACGGTTAGTGTATCCACTTACGCTGACGATACTAGGATGACCAACAATGGGATCGACAAAGCTAAACATTTCATAATTTTCAAAAACCATTGCCTTTGGTAAAAGGATCCAAATAGCTACTTTTAATTGGTAGACCAGCTGTATCAACTTCAATTCTACCAGAAGTTGTTTGACCTTGTTTTCGCAACTTGGTCATAATGGTAGGAAGACTGATAGAAACGCACCTTG